TTGACCCAGGTGATGTCAGGAGCAGGCACGCCGCGGGCCTCACACAGGAGCCGCGCCGGGTGGCCCTCTATGACGGCCACCTCACTTGTCTCGTTGGAGCCCCAGATGGTGGGAGGTGCTGAGGACAATGGGGGGCAGTCACAGGGAGCCCCTGAGGCAGCTGGTGTCCCCCCCAACACCCCCCACCCCGAGTGGCTTGCACGTGCCCATGCCCCAAGCACTGCACACGTCACAGCTTCGGCGGCAGGAGAGGGAGTCGGGGAGACAGGAGAGGTGGCACGGGATATGCCGACGTGGAAAGCTGCCGGCTGCACAGGAGGTGGAGGAGGTGGGAGTGGGGGGGACACCCTGGGCCCCACTCTGCCTCTAACTGGCTGTGTGACCAGGTAGGTCACGTCCCCTCGCTGGGCCTCAGCCTCCCCATCTGTAAAAGGAGGGGCTGAACGCAATCAGGGGTTCCCACGGGCAGGACGCAGGCCACAGCGTGAAATGACACTGCGTCTCACAGAGCTCCTCCCAGCTGATCACACGAAGGAGAAGGCTCCGGTGATAGACTACACTCTGGACCGTTCTAGCACTTTCCACCAGGCCCTCCACCACGGAGAGCAGACAGCGCAGCGCCCTCTGCAGGCAGCTGGTGCCCCAGCACTTCCGGGGCCTGCCTTTCAGTGCGTTGGGTTTTGCAGCCTCCTCCCTCCCGGGAAGGCCAAGTGGGCCTGGCTTCCACTTACAGCTGAGACAGTAAATATCTTTTTAAATAAATTCATTCCACGTAAAGAAAGGGACTTGGTTTTAAAGAAACGATCGCCCCGCGTGGTATCGGGTGTAGGACAGCTTGCGAAGTGGGATGAGACCATGGGGTTTGGGGAACGTTGGTCCAGATCCCCTGTCCCCCTCCTCCCCAACGTTGCTGCTCGGGGCTCGTTCCCCAGCCTCCTGATTCTGCTCTCGCCCTTCCTCTATCCAGCGGTTCTCAACCTGTGGGTCGCGACCCCTTTGGCGGTCGAACGACCCTTTCACAGGGGTCGCCTAAGACCATCCTGCATCTCAGATATTTACATGATGATTCATAACAGTAGCAACATGACAGTGATGAAGTAGCAACGAAAATAATTTTATGGTTGGGTCACAACATGAGGAACTGTATTTAAAGGGCCAGAAGGTTGAGAACCACTGCTCTATGTAGTGGGCAGCCGAGGGGAGCCTGGCCAGCAGCCCAGGGAGGGGCAGGGGCCGGGCTCACAGTGGATTCTGAGCTGAAAGTCCTTGGCCTGCTGGCCGGCCGGGCTGACGGCCGCGCACTGGTACCGCCCCTCGTCGCCCAGGTGGCTGCTGGTGATTCTGAGCAGCTGGCCGTCCTCCAGGAGCTGGACGTGCGGGTCCCCGGGAAGGACGGGCCTGGAAAGGAGGTCAGGACAGTGCGACTCGGGTCGAGGCGAGCAGGGGCGGCCGCATGGGCGACAAAGAGCCTGAGAGAGTCACAGTCACCAACAGGCCCAGTGCCCGGCGCCGGCGATGAGACAAAATGTGCCCGATCGGCGGGGCACCTGGGGAAGTCGGCGCTGACCCTGCCGCACTGTGGTGAGCCCAGACTGTGCTAGTGGAGGAGCTGGACTGTGTAGCTGCGTGGAATGTGCAGGAAATGCAGGTGCAGCTGCAGACAGAGAGCGGATGGGGGCTGCTGGGTGGTTGCGGGTGGGGGTTGCTGGTGGGGGAGTGGCTGCCAATGGGCATAGGTCTCCTTGGGAGATGAAATGTTCTGGAACTAGGCAGAGTGATGCTCGTGCAACACCGTGGCCAAATGCCACTGAACTGTGGGCGTTAGGTGGTTGGTGTCAGGTTATGTGGATTCCCCCTCACCCCAAAAACATTTAAAAAAAACAAACGAAGGCTGAGTGATGAGAAAACCCTGCTGGGTGAAAGTGGGGTCTCACCAGGGTGAACCCAGGCTGGGGTGGGAGGTGCCCACGCTGCCCTCTGCCTGGGCCCTGGTGGCACGTGCGATGCCTGTCAAGCGCCCCCCCAAGTTCAACCTCCCCAGAGCCCCCCATCCACCCGGCCCAGGCATGGGCACCACCCCCGGCTGTCCGCTAGGCGGGCCACTCACTGCCTGTCCTTGGTCCATTCCACCTGGGGCGTAGGGACCCCTGAGGTCCGGCATTCCAGCTCCACCTGGGCACCAGCCAGGCCCAGCACCTCCTGGGCAGCCCCAGCTCCAAGCACAGAGGGTGGGACTGAGGACAAGAAGGGCAGGGGGTGGAACGGCTCCAACCTGCAGCCCCGCCCACCGAGGGCCCTGGCCATGCAGGTCCCCCTCCTGGTGAGCCCTTCCCTCCACGTCCTGCCTGGGAGCCCCCACTGTGCTCCCTGCACAGCCTGCACTACTCATGTGACACAGCAGTGGCTGCTTGGCTAGTCACGTGGCTGTCGAATGTCTGCCCTGAGCTGTGTGAGGAGCTGGGCTGGCGTGGGCCCCTCTGTGCCCCTGCTCTCAGCACACACAGCGTCCCCGTCCCCTGCCCGCCTCACAGAGGAGGGGCTCAGGCCTCACTCACTGAGCACGAGAAGCTCGAAGTCCCGCTGCGCGGTGCCCGCCGCGTTCTCCGCCCGGCAGGAGTAGAGGCCAGAATCGCCCGCCTGGATCCGGGGGAGGTGGAGGGCCCGGGCCTCGTTCAGGAGGCGGTGGCTGTCCCCCTCGGGGATCTGGGCAGAGAGGTCAGAGGGAGCTGGTGACGGGGTACCAGACCATTAGCAATAAGAGAACTAAGGTCCACAGAGCTGGCTGGTGACAGGAACCTGGGGCTTCTAACTCCTAGAACAGTGCCGCGCCCCCGCCACCATGCAGCCCTCCAGGCTTCACCGTGAGACCTCAGTCCTCCCCTGCCCCGAGCCCCACTGCATCCCTAAAGAAACCTGTCACATCTCCCTGCCATAACCGGTCAGGAAAGCCCGTACCCCAGCCAAACCCACCCTCACCGGGCCGCCCCAGGGGACACCCACCAGCTGCCCATCCTTGAACCACGTGATCTCAGGGGCTGGGAAGCCGTTGGCGTCACACTCCAGCGTCAGGGCCTGCCCGGCCATGCCCGACACGTTGGCCCTGCGTCCGTCCTCCCGGATGCTGGGGGGCACTGGGCACAAGGAGAGGTAGAGGAGCCTCCCTCCCCGGAGCCGCAGCTGCCTGGATAGGCAGCCCCCGAGTCTGGGGTCCCCGGCTGTGCCCAGCCAGTGGCGCCCTCTCTGACACTCCGCTTTGCAAGATGCTGGCGGGCCGACCCATCCAGGTCTACACTCAACCCATCGTCGCGGTCCCCTGCGAGGGCCCGAGGTGCCGTCTCCTCGGTAGGACTTTGTGACAGATTTCCAGGCAAGTCCTCACAGGGCCAGCTGGGGGGCTGGTCACAGGGGGGCCAAAGGTGGCCCATGAGGAGCCTTAAAACGGCTCCCCTCACCCCCTCCAGGATGGCCACGTGGAGAGAAAGGTTCCTGTCCTCTGCACACAGCACCCGGGGGGAGGGGGGAGCTCAAGGGGGTGCAGGTCTCAGTGGAGGCGGCCATCGGTGCTCACCTTAAATGAAGGCACCCCCTAGACCACTTCCAAGCCGCTGATGGCGCTCCGGGCCGCCCCTCAC